GGGGGGCAAAGGAGGTGTTGATTCCAAACTCTGAACCTGGTCAAATATGACTTACTGGGTCAGCTCCACAGTTCCTTTCTGCCGAAATGTCCAGACGGTGCGCTCTGTCGAGGTCTTCGGAATGTCTGCCGGCTCCTGCACTCCATTCAAAACCGACCAGAATCAATGCATGCAGGAAGTGGCAACAAGTAGCAGATGCACTCCATTGCAATCCAACCAGAATGAATGCATGCAGGAAGTGGACGACAGGGAGCAGATGCACTCCATTCAAAACCGACCAGAATCAATGCATGCCGAAGTGGACGACAGGGGGCAGAGACACCGTTGAGGGGTGAACGAAAGCCCACCCAGTCAGGAGACAAAACAAGGCTAAATAACCGACCAAACGACTAAGGACCTCACCACACCACTGGTCGAAGCAAAAATAAAAGTACAAGTCCATCTTTTCCCCATAAAGTGGTCAGATGCACACGTTACTATGCATAGTAATGGATGCATCTGGCCACTCCCTGTGGGTTATATTTTTTCGTTTTGGCAGTGGGTGTGGCGAGGCCCTAAGCCACAGGGCAATTACGCACACACATGGGGAGGGCCAGATAGGGTGAGAATTGGCTTTCCAGTACCCAAACACCAGGGGCATTCTTCGCGCGCCCCCACCCCATCCCCTGCAGAAACCCAACTTCAGAAAAACCTTCAAAAAAGAACCCGGTTCTGAGACTCTATGTGTGTAGTCCATGCGGGGCTGAATGGTACACACATGAAGCTGTTGAAGAACAGGTAACGAGTTACAAACCTAATGGAACCAGATGGATGAAATAATCCATCTATCTGTCTGTCTGTCTGTCTGTCTCTCTCTCTCCCTCTCTATCTATCTATCTATCTACCTATCTATCTATCTATCTATCTATCTATCTATCTATCTATCTCTCTGTCTGTCTGTCTGTCTGTCTGTCTGTCTGTCTCTCTCTCTCTCTCTCTCTCTATCTATCTATCTATCTATCTTGGTAGTGGCAATGGTTGAGTAAGAGGACGACGAAGACCCGTAGACGAGGAGGACAAACAGTTAGGCAAGGAGGGACAAGAACGACAGTAGACAAGGAGGAACGTGAGGAGGAGGAGGAGGACGCACAGAACAACATGGGGAGGGAGATGGAGGCTTAACAGGCAAGGAGGGAGAAGAACAACAGTAGACAAGGAGGAACGTGAGGAGGAGGAGGACACACGGAACAACATGGGGAGGAGATGGAGGCTTAACTGATTGATTGATGGATTGATTAATTGATCCATCCGTCCCATCCATCCTCCTTGTCTACTGATGTCCTCCTCCTGCTACCAGCCTCCCCCTCCGTTTCGTCCTCAAGTGCTGTTGTCCTCCTCCTCCTGTTCCTCCTCCCCACCACCGCCGCCTGCTTCCTCAGTTCCTTATTTCATGAAATTATTATATCTGCTCTCTAGGTAATGGACAAGATGTCAAAATGACAGTGGGAGTGCACTGTCCCAGACCTGCCCCCCCTGTCCAACCTGTCACAGCTGTCCCAAACCTGTCCCACCTTTCCCAGACCTGTCCCAGCTGTTCCACCAGTCCCAACCTGTCCAACATGTTCGAGGCATGTCCCAGTACCTGTCCCAGTACCTGCCCCGCCTGTCCAATTGCCTTTAACACCTGTCCCATCCGTTTGTGACCTCTCCCACCTGTCCCTTCCGTTCCAAGCATGTCCCAGACCTGTCTCACCTGCTGCAGAACTGTCCCAGCACTGTCCCCCCCGTTAACAGGCTTGTCCGATTCATGTACCACCTGTCCCATTCCTGTCAAACCGGTTCCACCTGTCCCAGACGTGTCCCAGTCCTAGACCTGTCCCACGCCTGTCCCACCTGTAAACAGCGGGCCGTCTCTATGTTCATTTCTCTTTTCTGCAGAATGCCAAAGCTTGCAGCGGCACCTTGCCAACGTTGGTTTTGTCGGGCACCTCAGGATATGATGTTACCACCACTGTGACAACACCATCATCACCACCATCAGCTCTCCACCGCTGCTCCCGTGACGAATAGGACTTTCTCTCGATTCCTCAATCTAAGAAAGCAAAGGTCCCAGAGTCCAGGTTATGCATGTTCATTTGGGCTGGTTGGGGTATAGGGAGGGGAGAAGAGAGAGGGCGGGGGGGGGGGGGGGGGGGGGGGGGGCGGAGGTGTAGTGATACATGCCCAGTTGGGCAATGTATGTACAGCCAAGGATCCGCAATGTGATAAAAAGGACTGAATGGGCAAGGCAATGTTAGTGAGACATCAATGAGCAGTGCACACCCTGATACATACGAAATGGCACAAAATAGCGCAGTGGAAGACTTGGATATAAGTCCTGACCTGACTGGGACTGACACGACATCCCATCATACATCACATGTGAGAGGAGGGACCACACACAAAGAAGAAAGGTCCCTCCTTGTACACATGGGGAGATACCACAGATGTGAGATGGGGGGAGAGATGAGATGAAGATGGAGGTGAGGGAGAAGACCAAAATCGCAATGGCAATGTCCAAAAATAGTCCCTTGCCGATGTCCAATCAATGTCTGTCTCCAAAATGTCGAATCAGATCCTGGGCCCAATGCCCCCTTGTAACCCCTGCCTGTACCCTCTGTCTGTAACCTCTCTCTCTCTCTGTTACATGCTGCGCCTGCACACAAGGCCATTTTCCAGGCCCTACATCCTTCAGGCTAAAAGCCTGAAATTCAGGCTTAAAGCCTGAAAACCAGGGCCTACAGGCCCCGTGACTGTTCAGCCCAAAAGCCTGAAAACAGGGGCCTACAGTCCCTGTGTCGTTTCAGACTAAAAATGGCAATAGCCTTTTTAGCCTGAAACGAAGGGCCATTTTCGGTCGTTCATCAGAACGACCGGCCCTGAAACTCAGGCACCGAACCAGGATTTCGTGAACAGGCTATTCTTAGCCTGTTCCCACGCCAGCCTCAGCACAGGCTGCAGCGCCAGCCCCTGGCACACTTCGGCATTGGCAAGAGCAGCCTCCTCGGCCTGGCTCGCCCTTCAGGCAGTCAGGAGGCAGGCCGAGGTAGGGCTTCCCATGCACTTCACGGGGAGGCAGGAGGCAGTAGTCTTCAGGATTCGGCCGCAGCACTCTGGAGGGAGCGCTGCAGGGAGTAGTAGTAGCGTTAGCCTTTAGTCTTCAGCGCTGGGCGCAGTAGGTAGCTGTARTCTCCAGCGCTGGGCGCCATAGCTAGGATAGCACTAGAGAGAGAGAGAGATTGGGCGGAGGCCTTGGGTACCTACCTGCAGCGCCGTTTCTCCAGCTTCTTCTTCGAGGTACCTGGAGCACACCGCCAACATCACAGGTTAGTATCTGGCTCGTAACAGAGAGAAAGACTTCTTCTTCTTCCTCTTCTCAGTCCACCATCTCCCTCTCCCCCTCTCATCATCTGACTTCACTGCATCTGCAGACTACGAGATAAGAGAGAAAGAGCTTGGTGACATGGGATCCAGACTCGACTTTTGGCTTCAGACATTGCAACGAGGGATTATTTGGGACTTGTGACAGAGACGTGGTGTTGACGACATTCCCATCTCTCTCCCTCCTTTCGTCTGATCCCCTCCTCTTCGTCTGTGTATGTCTGGACCTGGCGCTTTCTTCCTGTGTACAGCGCCAGGCTCCTTCATACTTTGTGATGGACACGATGTATGTTTGGTCTGCGTTCAAACATTAATTGGGCTAGTCATTAGCATTCTAGCATTCTGCTTCGCTATCTTTCACTACGTGAATGAGGTCAGTCACGTTCAGGTCAGGACTTGTATCTAAGTCTTCCACTGCGCTATTCAGCACCCTTTTGTATGTATGAGAATGCACATTGCTTGTTGAGATTCTACTTGCACTGCATTGTCCATTCAGTCCTTTCATCACATTGCGGATCCTCGGTTTCTATGTACATCGCCCAACCGGGCATGTAACACTCTCTCTCTCATCTGAAGAAGAAGAAGAAGAAGAAGAAGAAGAAGAAGAAGAAGAAGAAGAAAAAGAGAGGAGAGAGGGAGAGATGGAAGGGGAGACGAAGAGGTCACCTTCCCTACTGTCTCACCTGCAGGAAGGACGCCTTCACTGACTACTAGTGTCAAGCTTCGAGGTCAGGGAAGAAAGGGACTGTCTGTGCATTGTTGCCTCTCTGCCCTTCTTCCACCCCTACCTTCTCTCTCTGCTCCTCTCAGTACTGCGGACTTCAGTCTTTGGCCACGTCAGCATTGTGCCACATCAGCGGGCCACGAAGGCAGATTGCCACCTCAACCGCGTGCCACCTCGGCATGCCACGACAGCCAATTGCCAACTCAGCAGCGGCCACCTCAGCAGTGCCACATCAGCAGGTGCCACCATGGCGGTGACACATCAGCAGCAGACGAAGACCAGAGTACTTAATGCGCCGCAGTCAACGATTGGCTGAGTGCGGATCCACAGGAACCAAGCCCCAACTGTGACCTAGCACCCCTCGGATCCCGTGCAGGCGACGCACGACCATGTCTGCTACCGCAGACAGCAATGCACAAGCCAGCCCCAAGAGGCCGGTTACCCCTCCTATCTCAGTTCAGCAGGCGGACGAAACGCTACTGGCGTTTCTCAAAAGTCTCCAGCTCTACTCGGACACCACTGCAGCTGAACTGAGCAAGTGGGAAGAGGAGGAAACCGCCCGCCAGCAGGAAATTCAACGCCAGCTGGCAGAGGCAGAGGCAGCACGTCAGCAGGCCACAGCAGAAGCTGCAGCAGCCGCACGGTTGCAACAGGAGCAGGTCGAGGCAAGCCAAAACCAAGTTTGTTACCAAGCTACAATCGATCTCGCCAACGAAGAAACCACGTACCGGAGGTTACTCCGACAGCAGCATTTTCGAGCAAACGAGGAACAAGAGGAGCCGACCGAGGACGAGAGAAACAAGGAGGCCAAAGCAGTTTTGATGGAGAATCTGCTGTACATGTGCAATTGGCAGCAACGTGAACTGCTGGCCATGCGGCAGGTCTTCATCCGCCACGAAACAACGTTTAAAGCACTGGACAAGAAGATCGCTACCATACAGGCCGAGATCAGCACACTACACGCCGCCAACAGCCAGCAGCAGACACTCAACACCGGGTTGGCACAACTGTCGGCAGCTGCGTCGACGAGCAGTGCAGTGGCAGACTGCAGCCCAGCTTTGGCCGCTCAGGCCAAGCAACTCGAGGAGCGGATCAACCACCTGGTCGCATCCCTCGGCGACATCAGCAAGTTTGCTGGAGCATCCACAGTCAGCAATCAGCTGCAGACGCTCAGAGACCGCGTTCAGCAACGACCGGCCGCCGTTGCCAAGGAATGGAAGATGCCGAACTTCAAGACCGAGAAGTTCGACGACTACCACAAGACTGATCCGCTGCAATGGTGGATGGCATTCAACGCAGAGGCGGATGTACATCACACCCCACCACTACGGCGGCTTGACGCACTCTACCTCCAACTCATCGGAGGGGCGCAGGCTTTCATCACACACATGGCCGTCACGTTGGAATGCACCATCGCCACCCTCCACACCAAGATTACGTGGGAGGAGTTTGAGAAGAAGTGGAAGACCCGGTTCATGGTCAACAACGACAAGCGTCACGCCATGAACAAGATCTTCCACATGTTTCAAGGCCAGCAACCTTCACGGGAGTGGCTGACGGAGTGGCAAAGACTCGTCGCCACCCCAGAGTTGAACTTAACGTTCGGCGCAATCCGGGCCGAATTCTTCGCTCGATCTTGCGACGCCTTGACAGCTGTGCTGGGCAGCGAATTCCAGTATAAGACCTTTGATGACATGATCTCAAAGGCGAGAGAACTAATCCAAGATAACCGGCGCGCAGCCAACGAGGCCCGCCAACAGCCCGGCTATGTGGGGAAAGGCAAAGGGAAAGGCAAAGGTCAACGGACTCCGCAAGTAGCAGCAGTCCAGCAAGGACCAAGTGAGGACCACAGCCGCGTCTACGTCAAGTGACGGAGATGTGGCAGCAGCGATACCACCGCAGCGCTCAAGACCCCTAGGGGGAAAACAAAAGGCGAAACCAGCGTCGGCGGATGGAGCACGACAGTCACCATGGACAAAGTTCAACATTACCGAAGACATGTTCAAGTTGCGACAGAAATGGGGATGTTGTTTTTGGTGCAATAGCACCAAACACATCACCAGCGCATGCCTCGACAAGGACAAGGAAAATGTCAAGCGTCCAAGCTCGGGAAACTGAGCACCGCGGGAAGTGCAACGACATCACTTCCCAATCCACCGGATGCGGTTGCCTTGCTAGCAGTCTCTCTCACGTCCGGGGATGACGCGGTAGTTGCAAGTTCTCGCATTGATTTTGAGAACTATGATGTCGAGCTGGTCCCACCGTTGAACCAGCCTCTCCACGTGCAAGATTCAAGCGCATGCGCGGTAGTTCCGTCGTCGGCCAACGAACCGGTTGCTTCGCCGGCCCTTCTATAAGAGGATCCGTCAACTTAGGCGAGACTTGAGGAACTCGACCCGTTGACGGTTGAGGACTTCCAATGGTTACCTCTTCCCTCCACCAGTTCTTTGCCAACACCGCATACCTGCACCCTGCAGTACCACCTCCGTCGACGGACGGCAGAGTAGTGGTTGTTGATCTTTGTAACTATCTAGAGAAGATCGAACGCGAGTACGCAACACAACAGTACGTCGACATCGACGCGCCGCTCTACATCCGCATTCAGATCGGAAAGGCGACCTGCAGTGCCTTGATCGATTGTGGAGCGACTCGCAACTACATCAACCAAGACTTCATGGCACGCGCCGGGCTGGGGCCGCGCAAAAGTCAGCCTACGCACGTCACATTGGCCGATGGTCACACGCAAAAGTTAGTCGACCAATGTGTTGACTCGGTGCCCGTGTACTTTGCCCCGTTAGCATGCAAGGCCGTGTCTTTCAACATATTGGACACCAAGTTCAATGTGATCTTAGGCATGTCGTGGCTGCAAAGCGTAGACCATCCGGTGAACTTCTATCGACGCACCATTCACGTTCGTGATCGGCGTGGCGAACTAGTCTCGTGTACGGTGCCGCTTCCTCATCCTTCGATGGCTTGTCACGTGGTATCCGCGGCGAGCATTCGTCAATCCATCCGGCGGAACGACATCAAGGAGATGGGCATATGTTTTCTTCACGCCCTCCCACCCGGTGATCAGCCCAAGACGGAAACGTCGGACCCACGCATCATTGAGTTGTTGGACAGCTATGAGAATGTCTTCCAAGCTCCCGCCGGAGTAGTACCGGATCGGCCCATACGCCATGGGAACACTCTCGAGGACGGCGTCGTACCTCCGCACGAATGTATCTACCACATGGGCGAAGAGGAGCTTCAAGTGCATCGGGCACAACTAGACAACCTCTTGGCCAAGGGCTGGATTCGCCCTAGCTGTTCGCCATACGGTGCTCCCGTTCTCTTCGTCCGGAAGAAGAACAAGGACCTTCGTTTGTGCATCGACTATTGGAAACTTAAGACGCAAACGATCAAGAACACCGGCCCTCTCCCTCGGATCGATTATCTTCTCGAGCGACTAGGCGGCGCCAAGTACTTATCGAAGCCTGACCTCAAATCCGGATATCACCAGATCGAGATCCAGCCAAGAGATTGGTACAAAAACGCATTCAAGACACGGTATGGGCACTTCGAGTGGATCGTTCGTCATGCCTTTCGGTCTCACCAATGCCCCGGCTACTTTCCAAGCGGCCATGACGACAAAATTTCGCGACCTGCTCGACCGCACCGTACTCATTTACCTTGATGATATCCTGGTTTACAGTCGGGCGCTGGACGAGCACCTCGAGCACCTTCACGCCCTTTTGGAGCGGCTCTGTATCGCCAAGTACAAGGCCAACCGCGATAAGTGCGAGTTTGCCCAGCAAGCGCAGTCCTTAGGCCATTACATTATGCCACAAGGCATTCGTCCGCTCGCGGACAAGGTACAAACCATTCAAGATTGGCCGGACCTCAAGTGTACTACCGACGTCCGCTCCTTTCTCCGTTTAGCATCATATGACATGCGCTTCGTCAAAGGTTTTCAACGGATCGCTGCACCATTGTCGCGACTTTAGTCCCCCTTGGTGCCCTTCGAGTTCAACGACGATGCCCGACACGCATTCCATACGCTGAAGACGGCTTTGCTCCAAGATCTCGTCTTAAGCATTTATGACCCGACCTTGCCTACCAAAGTGAATTCGGACGCTTCCGACTACGGCATTGGCACGGTTTTGGAACAGCATGACGGCACAGACTGGCATCCGGTTGAGCACTTCAGCCAAAAGGTGTCGCCCATCAACACTCTTGATGATGCGAGGAAGAAGGAACTGCTAGCTTTTGTCACCGTAATTAAACATTGGCGTCACTTTCTCCTCGGGCGTCGACGATTCGCGTCGGCAATGAACAACAATCCTTCGACTTATTACAAGACGCAAGACACGGTGAGCAGCACGATCTGTCGGTGGATGTACTTCATTGACCACTTCAACTTCACCTCCAAGCATATTCTGGGCTCCTCGAACAAGGCAACGTAGGCTCTCTCGCGACGACCTGATCTTTGCGCCTTGGTGCACTCCACATTCGGCCTCGACGAGAACCTGCAACAGCATTTCAAAAACGGCTACAAGTCGGATCCGGGATTCTCCACACTCTACGCGGACTTATCATCGGATCAACTGACGACAAGGAATTATCGCATTGTCGACGGCTACTTGCTTCTCCATACAAGAGGCAAGGACTTGTTGTGTGTTCCCCAAGACCGCATCTTGCGCACTCGCCTCCTTGGCGAATACCACGATTAGCGGTTGGCGTGACACCTTGGCGTCACACGCACACTAGCACGACTCCGCCAACGATTTCACTGGCTAGACATCATCAGCGACGTCAACCGGTATATTCAATCATGTGCAGTTTGCCACCGGAACAAAGGCTGCCATCAACTCCCGTACGACGAACTGAAACCATTGCCGATTCCTCGGGAACCAGGTCTTTCCATTGCTATGGATGTGACCGGTCCTTTCCCTCGCGATCGCCTTGGCCATGATGGTATTCTCACGGTCGTTGACCGTTTGAGCAAGTACGCTCGATTTCTTCCATGCAAGTATCATGCGCCGGCTCCCGAGCTCGCACGACTTTTGCATACTGGCTGGTTTTGCAGCCACGGCGTTCCGGAAGACATCGTCAGCGACCGCGACACTCGTTTCATGTCAGCCTTTTGGACGACACTCGTGGTGGAATCCGACACCAGCATGAAACCGAGTTCCGCACGACTTCCTCAAACAGATGGGCAAACGGAACGTGCGCACCAGATTGTGCAGATGTGCTCCGCACACTCATCCGCCCGGATCAGAAGGATTGGGTTGACCACCTTCCTGACATCGAATTCGCCTACAACACTTCGGTACACCCGGCGATTGGCGTGACTCCATTCGAGTTGCATCACGGTGGACGGAAAGGACGTATCTTCGCAGACATTTTGCTTCCACGGGCTGCCGATATCAACGCCGCTTGCTCCCCCGCTTCTACACGGAAGTACAGGGAGTTGTTGTCCAAAACCAGCGCAAACATGCAAAAGGCTCAGGTCCGTATGCAGCAGCAAGCGAACCGGCGTCGCATCCCATGTCCAATCCACGCTGGCGACCTATTTTGGGTCACCTCCGAGGAATGCGCGCTCGAGCAGCACGTCTCGCGCAAGCTCCTCCCTAAGTGGTTTGGACCATGGAAGGTCACTTCAGCAGTTGGCGACGACCCCGTGGGTCCATCTTTCATCATTGAGATTCCCCCGCATTTGACGGTCCACCCGATATTTCACGCTTCAAAATTGGCAGTCTACACTCCAGCCTCCACGGCGGACTTCCCGGGCAGACGGTCACAAGACCCTCCCTCAATGGATGGTCATCAGGAGGTCGACCGCGTCCTCGCTCATTGCAAGCACGGCAACAAGCCAATGCACTACAAAGTTACATTCAAGCAATGCGATCCCCACGACACACGCTGGATTTCACGAGCTAACCTGAAGGCGACAAGGGGGAGTGTGTGGCATTCTGAGCCACACGGGCCCAGTTAGGGCCCGGTTCCAAATAGGCAGGGTAGGCCTAAGGGGACGACGGTTCAAAAGAGGCCCAGGTAGGCCAGGACCACGGCAGTTCAGGCAGGCCAAGGGTAGAGGCCCAAGCCAACGGCCACAAGGCCGGTACCGGTCCAGCATAGGACCTACCGGCGGCGCAGTGCAGAGGCTGTTGTGTTTAGGCGCCAAGTCTAGTTTTGAAGTTGGACCGTTGATCAGATCAACGGTCCAGGCTGGTAGGTACCAGCAGGTAGGAGGCCGGCCCAACACTACAGAAGGCTGGGTACCAGCCTCAGTAGGGAGGTTAGTAAGGTTGGACTTAGTCTTCAAGATTAGCGCAGCGTTTCAGCGTTAGGAGATTAGCGCAGCGCAGCAACGTTAGAGCGAGCGGCGAGGAGAGATTAACACGGCGGCAAGGAGGAACCAGCGTAGCAGGAACAACGCCAGCCACCGGCCCAGCGCCAGACTCTTGCAGCGCCATAGCTACCAGGACAGGCACCGGGGAGAAAGGCCTCGCCTTCTCTCCCTCTTCCTCCTCTGCCACATTCTCTCTCTCTCTCTCTCTCTCTCTCTCTCTCTCTCTCTTCCTACCTTCTCAGTCTTAAGTCTACTCCTGGGTTCTCCTACAGGGCTACTATGAGTATGAAGGATGGTTACGAGTTCCGATGACATTGGGGACAGCGACATTGGGGCTATGGGTTGACGACTACTATCTTCATCTGGAGATGTACTTGCCATTGTGAGATCGATATCTGAGAGATTGTGAGACATTGTATTCGCAACATTTCGGATTTTCGCCACCTCTGACACTTCAAGATACTATCTTTGGAAACATTGAGTTGACGTCATCTTCCCTCTCCTCCTCCCTTCGTCTCTCTCCTCCCTCCATTCGTCCGTGGATGATCTCAGACCCTGGCCTTCGTCTATGTCTAAGGTTGGGGCTTTCACACCCCTGATGTATGATTGAGAGTATTCGATTGCAGTCCGAGTCAGGTCAGGGTCAGTCCATGTACCTCAAGTCTTCCGCTTGCAATTGGTATCAATTTTGTATTATCTGGTCGGTTCTGGGAATCTGCGCCATACTTATGACTGTGTTTCACGAGTATGCAACAAGTGCACACCCTGATACATATGAAATGGCACAAAAGAACGCAATGGAAGACTTGGTTATAAGTCCTGACATGACCAGGACTGACACGACATCCCATCACACATCACACATGTGACACACATGTGAGATGAGGGGGAGGGACCGCACACAAAGAAGAAAGGTCCCTCCATGTACACGCACATGGGAAGATACCACAGATGTGAGATGGGGGGAGAGATGAGACGGAGATGAAGGCGAGGGAGAAGACCAAGATCGCAATGGCGATGTCCAAAAATAGTCCCTTGCCGATGTCCAATCAATGTCCGTCTCAAAAATGTCGAATCCGATCCGGGGCACAATGCCCCCTTGTAACCCCTGCCTGTACCCTCCGTCTGTAACCTCTCTCTCTCTCTCGTACCTGAAGAAGAAGAAGAAGAAGAAGAAGAAGAGAGAGAGAGGGAGAGATGGAGGGGGAGACGAAGAGATTGCCTTCCCTACTCTCTCACCTGCAGGAAGGTCATCGTCACTGACTACCGCGTGGTTGCTGTCTTGTGCAGGTCGCGAGCGGAGTCCAAGCTATGGCGCCAGGTAAGTCCGCCGTCTGCAGATATGGCCTCCGCCCTCTCCTACCTACTTCCCAAGCTCTAGTCCGCAGCGCAGCGCTGGTCCAGCAGTGTGTCGCTCGAGAAGTGAGCTACCCGAACTGTCCGTTGCCCAGCCGCTGCCCAGCTATATGTAGCGTTGGGCGGGCTGGGCCTACCAGGTGTTGGCCTCAGCAACGACCCAACTGGTCTGGGTCCCTACCGGACGTCCAGACCATGTTGCTGACGAAGCAGGCGCAAAAACACGCCGGGCCTGGATCAGGCCCCGTTCCTGTGTACCTGGCCCAATATTACATACTATAACGTTGCAGACCAGAACAAGAACTGACCTCTCAATACAAAGTATAAGATCGCACAGCGGAAGACTTAGATACCAATGATCCGACAATCAATATTGCAATGCAGCTCTGAACATACATCATCATCATCGGTACACGGTGTGAATGGGGCCTGACGCTTCACACAGGAAGACTGCGCCAGCCCCTACCATACACAGACAAAGAAGAAGGGGGTTAGATGAAAAGGAGGGGAAAGATGGGAATGTCGTCAACACCAAGTCTTCGGCACAGCCCAAATAGTCCCTTGTCGAAATGTCTAAATCCCAAATGTCAAGTCTGGATCCAATGTCGTCAAGTCTCGAGTCACAACTCTGTCTCTCTCTGTCATAGTCTGAGAAGTCAGGTGGCGAGAGGGTGAGAAGAGATGGTGGACTTAGAAGAGGAAGAAGAAGAACTCTCTCTCTCTCTGTGTGTCCAGTACTAACCTGTGAAGTTGGCGCCCTGATGCAGGTACCTCGAAGATGGAGCTGGAGCGATGGCGCCACAGGTAAGTACCACTGGCCTCCGCCAGTATCTCTCCCACTCTACGATCTACCACCTACCAGCGCCCAGCGCTGAAGACTACTGCTATGGCTATGGGCGCCCAGCGCCGAAGACTACTACTAGCGCTAATACTACTGCCTAGCGCTGAAGACTACTGCAGCGCTCCTCCTGAGTGCTGCGGCCGAATCCTGAAGACTACTCGTGCCTACTGACAACTACCTACCCGTGTAGTGCATGGGAACTTCCYATGTACTACCGGGTGTGCCTCCTGACTCGTGCGAGCAGTCCAGGAGGCTGCTCTTGCCAATGCCGAAGGAAGGCAGGGGCTGCAGCTGCAGCTCCTACTCAAGCTCGTGAGGAACAGGCTATTTCTGGCCTGTTCTGAAACCCTGTATTCGTGCCTGAGTCTAAGGGGTGGTCGAAACAATGAGGGCCTGAAAAAGGCCCTCCGTTTCAGGCTGGAAAAACTCTGGCCTGCAAGGCCCAGAAATAGGCTGAAACGGAGTAGGGCCTGCAGACCCTCGTATTTCAGCTTTCAGGCTGAACGACGGGGGCCTGTAAGCCCTAAGTTTTAGGCTTTTAGGCTGAAAGTGCGGGACGGGCCCTGCAGGACCCGTGTGGCTACGCAGTATGCCACACCCCCCCCTCCTTGAAAGACCGAGCTTACCTGCGAGGGCGAAGCTGTCTGTCTGAGGGAGGGACCACAGTCCAGGTGGGAGGGGCAGGTCGTGGAGGTCCCTTAGCTAACCTTTGTCGCTTGTAGTGAGCGTAGAGCAGTGGTGCGGATGCTTTCAAATCTGCTCCTGAAATCCACCGAGTGTCGTCGGGATCGCATGCTATGAATGTGACTTTGTACTGGTGCGGCTTGATGCCGTACTTGCGATCCGTGATGACGCGGTCAACTTCCTGATGACCATCCATAGGAGGGTCCTGTGATCGTCGACCCGGGAAGTCGTCGCTCTTAGCTGGTGTATATGTTGCCAGCTTCGAGGCGTGAAAGACTAGATGGACCGTCATATGCTCGGGAATGTTGATCACAAATGAAGCGCCATCGGGCTCATCGCCCGCGACTGCTATCACAGACCAAGGTCCAAACCACTTGGGAAGCAGTTTGCGTGAAACATCCTGTTCCAGTGCAAACTCTTCCGCGGAGACCCAAACCAGATCACCGACGCGGATGGGACATGGTACGCGACGCCTGTTGGCTTGCTGCTGCATGCGGACTCGAGCCTTTTGCATGTTCGCGCGGGCTTGAGTCAACAATTCCCTGTACTTTCGGACGGAAGCGGGAGAGCAGGCAGCGTCAATGTCGACTGGTCGAGGGAGGAGAAGGTCGGTGAAGATCCGGCCTTTCCGTCCACCATGATGCAACTCGAATGGAGTCACGCCGATCGCCGGGTGCACCGAAGTGTTGTGGGCGAACTCGATGTCAGGGAGGCGGTCAACCCAATGCACACTGGTTGGATTTGTGGCCACGGTGTTCCAGAAGACATAGTCAGCGACCGCGGCACTCGTTTCATGTCAGCATTTTGGACTGCGCTCATGCAGGAGTCCGGCACGACGATGAAACCAAGTTCGGCTCGACGTCCACAGACAGACGGGCAGATGGAGAGGGCACATCAAACCGCTCAAATGATGCTTCGGACGCTCATCCGTCCGGCGTGCCAACTCGGGAGCCGTGGAGTAGTACTTGCAAGGGAGAAAACGCGCATACTTACTCAATCGGTCCACAACCGTGAGGATGCCGTCGTGCCCGAGCCGGTCGCGGGGAAACGAACAGGTGACGTCCATGGCAATGGAGAGACCATTTCCCGTGGGATAGGCATCGGGCGAAACTCGCCATAGGGATTGCGGTTGTGGGGCTTGCTGCGTCGGCAAACTTCGCAAGAGTCGCAATACCGAGTGACATCGGTAATGAGGTCGGGCCATCGGAATCGTTGTCGAAGCCGTGCAATAGTGCGGCTGACTCCGAAATGGCCAGCGAGTCGTGAATCATGATACTCGCCGAGGAGGCGAGTCCGAACACGGCGGTCGCGTGGGACACATAGTAAGTCCTTGCCTCTCGAGTGGAGGAGCAAGTACCCGTCGACAATGCGATAGTGGCTGGCCGGCGGGTGATTCGAAGATAGTTGTGCATACAGCGTGGCGAAGTCCGGATCAGACTCATATGCCCGGATGCGAAGTGTCGCTGAAGCTCCTCGTCGAATGCGAAGGCATTATGTCATAGCGCAAAGATCGGGTCTTCGCGAGAGTGCATCTGCTGCGCAATTGGAGAGGCCGGGAAGATGTTTCGGTGTGAAATCAAACTGGTCGATGAAGTACATCCATCGTCCGATCGTGCTGCTCACCGTATCCTGCGTCTTGTAGTAGGTCAATGGATTGTTGTCCGTAACCCATGTGAACCTACGACGCCCAAGGAGGAAGTGCCGCCATCGCTTGAGAGTCATGACGACTGTGAGCAGCTCCTTCCTTGCATCATCAAGCAAGTTGATGGGAGGCACTTTGTGGCTGAAATACTCCACAGGGGGCCAATCGTCGCCGTCGTGCTGTTCCAACACCCCAATGCCATAGTCGGAAGCGTCCGTAGTCACTCTCGTCGGCAGTGTGGGGTCATAGATGCTAAGGACGGGTGCCATAAGCATAGCCGTCTTAAGTGCTTGGAATGATCGGCGTGCGTCGTCATCGAATACGAATGGCACCTTTGGCGACTGTAACCTCGTCATAGGTGCAACAATCCTGGAATATCCGGTGATGAATCGCTGATAGTAGCCCGCCAAACCCATGAATGAACGAACGTCCGTGGTGTTGGTGGGCTCGGGCCATACTCGTAGGGCCTCGATCTTGTCCACAAGCGGACGGATGCCTTTCGGCGTCACATAGTGTCCCAAGTACTTCAGCTTCTGCCTCAAGAATTCACACTTATCGCGGTTGGCTTTGTACTCCAAAACGGTGCGCAGGTGTTCCACATGCTCCTCCAAACTCCGGCTGTACACCAGGATGTTGCCGAGGTAGATAAGTACGTAACGATCCAGCATGTGTCGAAACTCCGTTGTCATAGCCACTTGGAAAGTGGTTGGGGCATTCATAGCCAAATGGCATGACCAGCCATTCGAAATGGCCATATCGCGTCTTCAACGCGGTCTTGTAGTGATCCTCCTTGCGAATCTCGAGTTGGTGATATCCCGGCTTGAGATCGAGCTTGGAGAAGAACTTGGCGCCGCCCAGTCGTCCGAGAAGATCGCCGATGCGTGGGAGAGGGCCGGCGTTCTTGATCGTCTGCGCGTTGAGCTTGCGATAATCGATGCACAACCGCAGGTCCTTGTTCTTCTTCCGGACGAAGAGAACAGGAGCACCGTATGGCGATGAGCTAGGCCGAATCCAGCCTTTCTCCAGAAGATCGTCGAGTTGTGTCCGAAGCACACTTAACTCTTCCTCACTCATTCGGTAAATGCAACCGTGTGGAGGATGATCTCGTGGCGAATGGGTCGATCCGGTACTACTTCGTGCGGGCCTTCGAACACGTCGCTGTAGGCGTCGAGAAGTTCGGTGATAAGTGGATCCGAAGATGAGTCCGTCGATGACGCGTCTTGGGGCGAGAGGGCGTGGAGAAAACACACCCCCATGTAGGTGCGAAGGTCGAGAACCTCTACTCCGACGTCCATCAACGGAGTCAGTACTGCAATGTGCAAGTAATCTCGCAATTGTGCCTTGAGCACGTTGCGATGCGGTTTCGGCAAGCGACCGGACCGGGGCAGGGGCATCCATTGGAAGTCCTCAAAAGTCAATGGGTCGAGTTCTTCAAAACTTGACCATGTCGTTGAATCCCCGGCGGTAGATGACGGCGAAGCTGCTGAATCGGTTGCCGATGGTGATGAAACCATGCATGCGGTAGATTGTTGCACATGGAGCGGTTGGTCCAACAGTGGAACCAAGTGGATAGCATAATCCTCGTAAGATGACCGAGGACTTGCGACATTCGCATCCTCCCCAGATGTGTAGGAGGCCGCTAGCAAGGCGGTCGAATCTGGCGGAGTGGGGGGTGGAGTCGCCTCACCTCCCGCGAAACTTAGTTCCCCGAGTTGAGCCGAGGCCGCACATCCTCCTTGGGCTGATCTTGGCAAAGAGAGGTCTTGTGCTTGGTGCTGTTGCACCAGTAGCAGGAGTCGTAACGGCCGCGGTACTTGTACTCGGGTTCGGTCAAGCCGAACTTGACCCATGGTGGTGCAGGCTGTCCATTTCCGGCCGGCGATGCTGATTTCGCCTTCCCGTTCACTCGGGGTTTGTTGTTGCTTCGCGGCTGGAGGGCAGCCACCTGATCTCCCTCACGTGATGCTGGAGTGGCTGCCGGGTCTTCTCCACTGTCCGATTGGACTGCAGCAAACTGATGTCGTGGACCAGTTCTTACCTTCTCCACATAGGTTGGCTGCCACGTTGACTTCTTGTGTGCAGCTGCCCTGTTGGTCTTGATGATCTCCCTCGCCTTGTTGATGATCTCTGCGAAAGTGCTGTACTGCTCGCGATCACCAAGTGCGAGGCTGAGAGCGGCACATGACCTGTTGTAGAACTCACGGCGCAGATGCAGAAATGGCAAGTCCAAATCGGGCGTGGCCTCGATCTTCTGCCAATCCGTGAGCCAGTCACGTGTCGGTGTGCTCCCTTGAGCCATCGTGAAGATGCGGTTGATGGCGAGCGCCGGGGCGTCGTCGACGATGAACCGCTTCTTCCATTCCTTTGTCATATCCTCCCAGGAGACCTTCTTGTACAGGTCTGAAACCTGGACGCCGTGGATGGTTGCCATGTGGCTGAGCCAGATCTGACATCCTCCCTTAGTGTTGATGAACAGAGCACTGATGAACAGATGGTCAGGGACCTCGTGAATCCCCAACTCCATTGTAAATCCTTGCCACCAGACGACCGGGTCTTGATGTGTGTAGTCATCAAATTTCTCGATCCGGAACGTTGGCATCTTGTATGGCCTCGCCGAGCTGTTGTTGTGGCTGTGGTCGGTCTGCTGTTGCTGACTGATCTTGGTGTCCAACAGCTCGAACCGCTGGCTGATGGTGGCCGGCTCTGTGAAGGCACTTGTGTCTCCTAGCATTGCCACTACGTGGTCAACGCGTTCCTCCAGTTGGCGGCTAGAGGATGCACTGCTGGAAGCCCCAGCATCTGGTCTTGGTGGAACTTGTTCCAAGTCGTGTACACGGGCGTCCAGTTCCCGTGTGGCATCCTCGTGCCGAGTCTTATGGTTCCGCACGGCCCGCTGGAGGTTCACTAGCTCGGACTGTAGGTGGTTACAAGTGTAAACCAACCTGGTCACGAGCTTGGCCATGAACTCCTTATGCGGCTCTTTCGGTGTTGCCTCGTCGCCGTTCGGTTCGAAGTGCCAGAACTTGAGTCTGTCGATGCTGTTGGCCTCATGCCGCTGCAGCAGATCCTGGGCTTCCTTACGGCGAGCCTAGGCATCTGCGTTTGCTTTGGCCTGTAGCCGCAGCTTCTCTGCTGTTGCCGCTTCTTCAGCCTGTAGCTGGGCATCCTTGGCTGCCAGCTGGCGTTGTTCCTCTGCCTCGATGAAAGCGAGCTGATCCTGGAAGCGCTTTTTGTCGTCGACAATGGGCTCATTGGCCAGTTGGCCTGGCAGGCCCGTCATGATGCTGACGTGGCACTGCTGACGTGGCACTGCTGACGTGGAACTGTCTGGCGTGGCACTGCTTACGTGGCACTGCGTCTGACGTGCACTGCTGACGTGTCACTATGGCTGACGTGTCACTGTGTCTGACGTGGCACTGTGTCTGACGTGGCACTGCTGATGTGTCACTATAGCTGACGTGTCACTTTGTATGACGTGGCACTGCTGATGTGTCACTGAAGCTAACGTGTCACTGCGTCTGACGTGGCACTGCTGATGTGTCACTGTAGCTGACGTGTCACCGTGTCTGACGTGGCACTGCTGACGTGTCACTGTCTGACGTGGCACTGCTGACGTGTCACTGTAGCTGACGTGTCACTGTTCCATCCCGAAAATGCATGCAAAGGGTGGGTGGGAGGGAAAACGCAGGTAGGAAACCAACCCAACAATACTTTCCTCCGGCCCTAATCAACAGATAAAATAAAATAAAACATAAAAGACGATTACTTCCCTTTTTTTTTTTCTTTTTTTTTTTGTATATCTGTCGATCTTTTATGAGTAGTACGTGTCAGAAGAGTACTATGAACGAGATCTAGGCTAGGTTCCGCAAAGTTTCGGCTTTTACAAACTGCGATCTTGATAAAAAAAAATTTGCGAAATGGAGTAAGGATGCGATTTTCAGAAAAGAACGAAATTCAGTTTCTGAGAATATGGCAACCTCCGAATATGCCTGACGCAATATTGGTAGGCTTCGCAAGATTTCGGTTTTCAAAAAAAAATTTGCGAGATAGAATTGGAAATTCGATTTTCAGAAAAGAATAATTCCAGTTTCCGAGAATATGACCACTTCTATCGTTATCCCAATATGCCTAGAGAACGAAATACTAACTTCAGAAATTTCAGCTATGTACGCGAAATATCAGAGACACGAAAAGCTACTATCGGGAATTTTCAGACAAAACGAAATGNTGATCTTAGGCATGTCGTGGCTGCAAAGCGTAGACCATCCGGTGAACTTCTATCGACGCACCATTCACGTTCGTGATCGGCGTGGCGAACTAGTCTCGTGTACGGTGCCGCTTCCTCATCCTTCGATGGCTTGTCACGTGGTATCCGCGGCGAGCATTCGTCAATCCATCCGGCGGAACGACATCAAGGAGATGGGCATATGTTTTCTTCACGCCCTCCCACCCGGTGATCAGCCCAAGACGGAAACGTCGGACCCACGCATCATTGAGTTGTTGGACAGCTATGAGAATGTCTTCCAAGCTCCCGCCGGAGTAGTACCGGATCGGCCCATACGCCATGGGAACACTCTCGAGGACGGCGTCGTACCTCCGCACGAATGTATCTACCACATGGGCGAAGAGGAGCTTCAAGTGCATCGGGCACAACTAGACAACCTCTTGGCCAAGGGCTGGATTCGCCCTAGCTGTTCGCCATACGGTGCTCCCGTTCTCTTCGTCCGGAAGAAGAACAAGGACCTTCGTTTGTGCATCGACTATTGGAAACTTAAGACGCAAACGATCAAGAACACCGGCCCTCTCCCTCGGATCGATTATCTTCTCGAGCGACTAGGCGGCGCCAAGTACTTATCGAAGCCTGACCTCAAATCCGGATATCACCAGATCGAGATCCAGCCAAGAGATTGGTACAAAAACGCATTCAAGACACGGTATGGGCACTTCGAGTGGATCGTTCGTCATGCCTTTCGGTCTCACCAATGCCCCGGCTACTTTCCAAGCGGCCATGACGACAAAATTTCGCGACCTGCTCGACCGCACCGTACTCATTTACCTTGATGATATCCTGGTTTACAGTCGGGCGCTGGACGAGCACCTCGAGCACCTTCACGCCCTTTTGGAGCGGCTCTGTATCGCCAAGTACAAGGCCAACCGCGATAAGTGCGAGTTTGCCCAGCAAGCGCAGTCCTTAGGCCATTACATTATGCCACAAGGCATTCGTCCGCTCGCGGACAAGGTACAAACCATTCAAGATTGGCCGGACCTCAAGTGTACTACCGACGTCCGCTCCTTTCTCCGTTTAGCATCATATGACATGCGCTTCGTCAAAGGTTTTCAACGGATCGCTGCACCATTGTCGCGACTTTAGTCCCCCTTGGTGCCCTTCGAGTTCAACGACGATGCCCGACACGCATTCCATACGCTGAAGACGGCTTTGCTCCAAGATCTCGTCTTAAGCATTTATGACCCGACCTTGCCTACCAAAGTGAATTCGGACGCTTCCGACTACGGCATTGGCACGGTTTTGGAACAGCATGACGGCACAGACTGGCATCCGGTTGAGCACTTCAGCCAAAAGGTGTCGCCCATCAACACTCTTGATGATGCGAGGAAGAAGGAACTGCTAGCTTTTGTCACCGTAATTAAACATTGGCGTCACTTTCTCCTCGGGCGTCGACGATTCGCGTCGGCAATGAACAACAATCCTTCGACTTATTACAAGACGCAAGACACGGTGAGCAGCACGATCTGTCGGTGGATGTACTTCATTGACCACTTCAACTTCACCTCCAAGCATATTCTGGGCTCCTCGAACAAGGCAACGTAGGCTCTCTCGCGACGACCTGATCTTTGCGCCTTGGTGCACTCCACATTCGGCCTCGACGAGAACCTGCAACAGCATTTCAAAAACGGCTACAAGTCGGATCCGGGATTCTCCACACTCTACGCGGACTTATCATCGGATCAACTGACGACAAGGAATTATCGCATTGTCGACGGCTACTTGCTTCTCCATACAAGAGGCAAGGACTTGTTGTGTGTTCCCCAAGACCGCATCTTGCGCACTCGCCTCCTTGGCGAATACCACGATTAGCGGTTGGCGTGACACCTTGGCGTCACACGCACACTAGCACGACTCCGCCAACGATTTCACTGGCTAGACATCATCAGCGACGTCAACCGGTATATTCAATCATGTGCAGTTTGCCACCGGAACAAAGGCTGCCATCAACTCCCGTACGACGAACTGAAACCATTGCCGATTCCTCGGGAACCAGGTCTTTCCATTGCTATGGATGTGACCGGTCCTTTCCCTCGCGATCGCCTTGGCCATGATGGTATTCTCACGGTCGTTGACCGTTTGAGCAAGTACGCTCGATTTCTTCCATGCAAGTATCATGCGCCGGCTCCCGAGCTCGCACGACTTTTGCATACTGGCTGGTTTTGCAGCCACGGCGTTCCGGAAGACATCGTCAGCGACCGCGACACTCGTTTCATGTCAGCCTTTTGGACGACACTCGTGGTGGAATCCGACACCAGCATGAAACCGAGTTCCGCACGACTTCCTCAAACAGATGGGCAAACGGAACGTGCGCACCAGATTGTGCAGATGTGCTCCGCACACTCATCCGCCCGGATCAGAAGGATTGGGTTGACCACCTTCCTGACATCGAATTCGCCTACAACACTTCGGTACACCCGGCGATTGGCGTGACTCCATTCGAGTTGCATCACGGTGGACGGAAAGGACGTATCTTCGCAGACATTTTGCTTCCACGGGCTGCCGATATCAACGCCGCTTGCTCCCCCGCTTCTACACGGAAGTACAGGGAGTTGTTGTCCAAAACCAGCGCAAACATGCAAAAGGCTCAGGTCCGTATGCAGCAGCAAGCGAACCGGCGTCGCATCCCATGTCCAATCCACGCTGGCGACCTATTTTGGGTCACCTCCGAGGAATGCGCGCTCGAGCAGCACGTCTCGCGCAAGCTCCTCCCTAAGTGGTTTGGACCATGGAAGGTCACTTCAGCAGTTGGCGACGACCCCGTGGGTCCATCTTTCATCATTGAGATTCCCCCGCATTTGACGGTCCACCCGATATTTCACGCTTCAAAATTGGCAGTCTACACTCCAGCCTCCACGGCGGACTTCCCGGGCAGACGGTCACAAGACCCTCCCTCAATGGATGGTCATCAGGAGGTCGACCGCGTCCTCGCTCATTGCAAGCACGGCAACAAGCCAATGCACTACAAAGTTACATTCAAGCAATGCGATCCCCACGACACACGCTGGATTTCACGAGCTAACCTGAAGGCGACAAGGGGGAGTGTGTGGCATTCTGAGCCACACGGGCCCAGTTAGGGCCCGGTTCCAAATAGGCAGGGTAGGCCTAAGGGGACGACGGTTCAAAAGAGGCCCAGGTAGGCCAGGACCACGGCAGTTCAGGCAGGCCAAGGGTAGAGGCCCAAGCCAACGGCCACAAGGCCGGTACCGGTCCAGCATAGGACCTACCGGCGGCGCAGTGCAGAGGCTGTTGTGTTTAGGCGCCAAGTCTAGTTTTGAAGTTGGACCGTTGATCAGATCAACGGTCCAGGCTGGTAGGTACCAGCAGGTAGGAGGCCGGCCCAACACTACAGAAGGCTGGGTACCAGCCTCAGTAGGGAGGTTAGTAAGGTTGGACTTAGTCTTCAAGATTAGCGCAGCGTTTCAGCGTTAGGAGATTAGCGCAGCGCAGCAACGTTAGAGCGAGCGGCGAGGAGAGATTAACACGGCGGCAAGGAGGAACCAGCGTAGCAGGAACAACGCCAGCCACCGGCCCAGCGCCAGACTCTTGCAGCGCCATAGCTACCAGGACAGGCACCGGGGAGAAAGGCCTCGCCTTCTCTCCCTCTTCCTCCTCTGCCACATTCTCTCTCTCTCTCTCTCTCTCTCTCTCTCTCTCTCTCTTCCTACCTTCTCAGTCTTAAGTCTACTCCTGGGTTCTCCTACAGGGCTACTATGAGTATGAAGGATGGTTACGAGTTCCGATGACATTGGGGACAGCGACATTGGGGCTATGGGTTGACGACTACTATCTTCATCTGGAGA